AAATACTTCCAGGGATGGTGACTCCACCACCTCCCTGGGCAGGCCATTTCAGTGCCTGACCACTCTCTCAGTAAAGTAATTCTTCCTAATATCTAATCTAAACCTCCCCTGCTGCAACTTCAGACCATTTCCTCTGGTCCTGCCACTATTCCCTTGGGAGAAGAGGCCAACACCCACCTCTCTACACCCTCCTTTTAGGTGGTTGTAGAGGGCAATGAGGCCTCCCCTCAGACTCCTCTTCTCCAGGCTAAACATGCCCAGTTCCCTCAGCCTCTCCTCATATGAGTTGTTCTCTAGACCCCTCACCAGCTTGGTGGCTCTCCTCTGGACACGCTCCAGCACTTCAATGTCCTTCCTGTGGTGAGGGGCCCAGAACTGAACACAGCCCTCGAGGTGAGGCCTTACCAGTGCCGAGTGCAGAGGCAAGATGGCTTCCTTACTCCTGCTGCCCACGCTATTCCCGATACAGGCCAGGATGCCATTGGTCTTCTTTGCCACCTGGGCATACTGCGGGATCATGTTAAGCGAGCTGTCCACCAACATTCCTATGTCTTTTTCTGCTGGACAGCTCTCCAGCCACTCTTCCCCAAGCCTGTGGCGCTGCCTGGGGTTGTTGTGACCGAAATGCAGGACCCAGCACTTGGCCTTGTTAAACCTCATCCCACTGGCCTTCACTCATTCATCCAGTCTGTCCAGATCAGAGCCTTCCGACCCTCAAGCAGATCAACACTCCCACCTAGTTTGCTGTCAACTTACTAAGGGTGCACTCAATCCCCTTATCTAGATCATCAATAAAGATATTAAACAAGACTGGCCCCAAAACTGAGCCCTGAGGGACACCACTGCTGACCGGTCACCAGCCAGATTTCAGCCCATTAATCTCAACTCGCTGCGCACAGCCATCCAGCCAATAATGTTCAATATAATCATATAATTTACCAAGCTTTTTTTTATTTACACTGATGATGGGACCATGAGGATGAGAGGAGAAAGCCTTCTTACCTGCACTTCTTACCTGCCTGGTTTGGTATGCACGTGGACAGCCAACTGACAAGACAACGAAACCAAAACCACTAATACCACAGTTGTCATCAGTAGAATTCGAAGTGGAATGATCTTGTAAATGGAGCAATCCTGGAAATCACAAATCTGAACCTGCATGCCAAAGCATAAGATATAAACCACCTTTGCGCCACCTGTGTTGGACAAAGTGTCCCACTTTCTGCTGCTCTACCCAGGCTCCTCAGCTATCACTCAAAAGTGCCAGGCAGGCTGTAATTTCAGCCTCCTGCCTTCCTCCTTCTCTCACCATCACCACGACTAGCAGCAATGGGTGTTTCAGCATAGGCCCAGTTGAAAAGAACCTTTTCACCCACTTCCTCCTCCCATTCCTCCATCTTCTAAAGATTTCTTTGGGCTTTTTTTGATTAGGCTTAAGGGAGAGAGAAGCTCACCCATGAATATTTTATTGGGCCGAAAGAACGAAATGCAAAAGTGTGCAGGCAATCCCACAAAACTTTTTTAGTGCTGAAGGAGACAGCCAAGTTCCTGATAGGTGAAAAGGAGCACTTGGTGATTTCCAACCTACGATTAAAGCTGCTTGGCTGGGGAGGAGAGTTACTGGACACTTCCAGCCCACCCTCACCTTTGTCACAGGAATAGCCCTTGTGGAAGAAAAGCACATGGCAACGTGAGAGCTGCTGACTGAAGCAGCCAAATAGTTTTCTCATTCCCCATGAGATGTGGCAGAGCAGCCATTTTACTTTCTAGTTCCCTTTCAAGATGAAGTATGGCTTGCAGTACCACTGCCTAGGCTATACTTATTCCATAAATAAAGATTTTCTGTCTTCCATGTGGCAACTTTTGCCCTGAAGTCACTCTTTAAAATCAGCCTCAGAAGCAGAGGCAATGTTCTTCTAGCAGGTGAGCACAGCTGAGAGCCTGGACAGCAGATACCCATTAGTATTAAGCACTCAGTTTTGGTGTGAGGAAAATTTCTCCTGTTTTTCACCTCCTAACACACAGGTGGTTGTGCTGCTGACAAGGCAACAGAGCCGTCCTATCTCTCCAATTCTTTCCTTCCATTTAGTGGAAGACGTGGAGGAGGCAGACTTTGCTGCAAAGCCTTTCCACTCCCTCTGTGCTCAGCACAAGAGCCATGGCCTCGGGAAGCCTCTGCAGAAAGGTGCCACAAGAACACAGAATCACCCAGCTCTTTTCTTTCTTTATTTTTTTATTGAAAGCTTCATCAAAGAAAACAGAAGTTTAAACCTAACATCCACTGATCTACAGAAAGCCCCAGGAGTGGGAAAATGGCAGCTATTAGGATTGTGGTACAAATGGAAAAACATCAAAAAAAAAAATCATAGCAGTACAGATCGTTCAAAGACATTCTGAGACATCAGCACACAGATGCCCATATAAATAAGATTCATAATTTAACGTTTCACAGAGGTTCTGTATTCTACATTTTGGCTACAGTGAGGTCTGTAAGGGCTTTAAAGAACCTCTGTCCCATTTGTGTGACGCGTGTATTCTTGATAGGAAGTTCATCTGCTTTCAGAGCTGCTTTGATTTTTCTTATAGACAGAATCTGTTCATTCTCCTTTAAAAAGGAAAACAATTAAAAATTCCTATATGAATTCTGTACGCTTCCTGGTTTTACATAAAATCATTTTGCCTCCAAAAGATAGTAGAATTTTCTTCCACTCTGGAATACAGCATATTTAATAATACTTTAGTTACATAAACATCATGTTCTCTTCTCTAGGCTGTATTTTTGGGCTTTTAAAAATATAACTGACTGTAAATTTCACCAAATTAATAAAATTATTATCCAAGAGAAAGACTCTTAAAGGCAGAAAATTAATGTTGGGCGGATATTCTCTTAAGGACAACAGATCCAGCTCTTGGAAGGTGCTTACGCCTTGCAGGCTCTGGCCCTACAAGGAAAAATGGATTTGTGAACCTGTCAAAGGCTGACATTTTTCACTTCATTACACTTTTTTATTAAGGTGAAAGAACTCGGCTGTCACTGTTGGGGAATTAACAATTGAACTGAACAACTGAAATGAACACAAGAATTTTTCTCATCATGGAAAGCTAAACCAACACTGGGATTCACTTCTTTACAGCTTTTCTCTCATAATTTTCTGTTTAATTTTAACAGCATGTTAATAAAGGGGAGAAGAAAGGGTCTCTTCTGCCTGCTTTGAGGCACAAAGGTGAATACAAAAAAAATCTCTGGGGTATGTACAATGCTCTAGCCTATTTGGGTGACAGGAGCAATATAGAAAAAGTTGGTGCTCTTTCTGAGGGGAAAATAACTCTCCTTACACTGCATCTTTGCTGCTTACTGAGATTCTAGAAATCTGCTCCACTGAGGGAAAGGAGAAGTCTGCTGCTCACTCAGCGCTCCTTCTGAGACAGTTTGTGTGCATGATTGTGTGTATGCATATTAGAAAGGAAAGGAATCATCGTTACTAGAGTCAACTGTCATTAAACAGGAAAGATTAATACTCCAAATATCAACATTTTTGTTGTTTTCTCTTTTGCATTTCCATCACACCGTAACTGTTCTCTTAGTTCATGTGGGCTACTGAGAAAGACCAGTAAAATCCCTTACCCTAGGACACTTCTTTTATATCTGGACCAATTTCATGTTAAATAAAATTTTGAAAGGAAATGTTGACCGTGTGTGTATCAAACATTACTATCTTCAACTACCACATTTGGTCTCATCACTAAAAATGGATTGATTCATTACTTTAAGCACATTATCACTCTTTAGCATGACTCTTGCTATAGGTAGAGTTCAGCGAGTCTGCCTAAACCTGTTTTGCTCATGTCAACCTCAGCATTAAAATGAAGTGGCATGAGGAGCACCATCAAGCTTAAAATCACAAAGCATGGCAATTTGTTAAACACTTAAGTCTCATCCTTCAGTACCATAAACAACATAATATAGATCCAAATACTATGACATATTAAAAATAAACTTTATTACAATGCAGGCTTCCTCAAATTTGGTGAGTTTTGGTACACATACATACATAAATAATACCCTTCGTTTGATTTTTACTTAAGTAAAAATCCATTCAAATGCTTCAGTCCATTGCCCATTGCAAGTTTAAGCCCTCATTTCTCTAATCACCAGCCTTTATCTTCCACAGTTGGGCATGCATCCATAGCAGAAGATGATACAGTGTGATGCAATTGCTCTCAAATATGCCTCATTCTGCATTACGGTGGATTTCTTGACCAACACAACCAAGGCAGTCTCTTGGTAAACAGAACTATACAAGTAAGCACAAGCTAAGGACATTTCAAGAGTCTATTTCACTGGAAGGCAATAAGAGGACATTCACAAGTTGAGGCCTGACTGTCACAGGTGAAAAGTGCTTACAAAACCAGCAGTAGAGCCAGATAGGAAGAGTCCCTCAGCAATCTCATTGGGAACAGCAAGATTTTTCAGTGCCCTGATCTACAACTCGGGTCAGAACCTACAAACATAATACTCTCTTTAGTTCAACTGTATCCATTTTTTTCCTCAATGTTAAGCAACAAGCCCAGGTATTCAGAGTTTTCTAGCCATAATTCATATTTTTCTGACACCCCTTCTGTTTTTATCTTTTAAGGTAAAACCAAAAATACCAAACCTGAACATCCAGATTTGATTATTTACAAGAATTCAGGTGTGATGGAAAATACATACGCAGTTCAGCTTATGAGTTTGATGTTACTTCGAGACCTCTGGGCCAGGCACCATTGCCTTAGACTTCTAGAGTTGTTTCTGAAACCTTTCAGGAACTCTCCTGGTATTTAAAGCTAAATTGATAAGACAGATATAGATATTGACTTTACAAATCCAGGTATTCAAAAAAAAAAAAAAAAAAAAAAAAGAAAAAAAAAACTAAACCCACAAAAAAAACCCCTGAAAAACAAATAACCTTGACAAATGGAAGGCCTCTAGTATGCTATCCAGAGACCAGAAACTCAAACAGATAATAATAATAAAAAAATCTTCCAAAAAGCCAAAAAGCTTATTAGCCAGAACATAAAGAAAACCAGTTTTGGATTTCAGAGGCCACCAAGTATTCCTGTCCTATGACAACACCCATGCAGCTTGTTGTTCTTCCACTGTTCTCTTTTATCTCATCTTTAACTTTTACAAATAAGTTACCACTTTCTAAGCGTTTTGTATGTTCCAAATAAGTTTTTTTTCTTACCTTATGATCTATGACTCTTTATACTCAAGGCTCACATTGTTTATAATTCATACTTTCAAGTACCATTTCACTGGTTTTTTGGGGATCAGTAAGATGATCAATTGTACTTAAGGGATCCATTTTGTTTCCTCTTCTTCTTCCTCTACTTCTTTGCTTTGTTTCTTTTGATTTCAAACACTATTAAAAATTATAGCATGGAAAAGAAAAAGGGAACAATTCTAATACAGAATGCACTTGAAACACTTTAAAGTGACAGGCATTGTGATATCATGTTGCCTGTCTGGCTTAATAAAAAACACTGAGATTCTTTAATTTTATTTGCTGAAAAAAATAAGAAAAATGTTTCTGAATGTATAAATAAAGCAGCAGAGTTCTGAATAGAAACAAGAAGGTACCTCAGCATATTCATCAGCCACATGGTAGCTACCTTGTAGCCTCATTGTTGATAGTAAATGAGGCTTTTTGTGTATCACATTAGAACTAACACAGAAACAAATGTGTTTATTTCATATTTAACTGACTTGTGCCTGGGGATATCTCTATTTGTACAAAGAATTCAGAGAAAGACAGAAAGAGAGTACGTGTAGAAAGGAAGAAAATAAGGCTAGATCAATTTTTTCCCTCATATGCCCTCCAAAGAAAGAGGGAACCTTTATCCAAGGACGAAATTCAAGTGCCACTCTCAAAAAGCAACAAGTAATGAGACAGCGTGTGAAACAGAAAGAGATTTTTTTTTTTTTCTTGATTGAAAACATGTTGTGGATATTGTTGTTCTTTTACTTTGGCATCATCTGGTTTTCAGAAGTGTTGAATGTCAACAACTACTCTGGACAAAGCAGAAATTTTACCACTTCTGAAAATCAGGCCCTTTTCCTATGGTGAAGAACCACGTGAGCTCCCATTTCTCTCTTTTCTATGTTGCGTATCTAGCAGCCTTTTACTTGGGAAACCCCCTCCCCCCCCCACTATGTTAAAAAATATGATCTTGTTTTATCAATTTAAAAAAATAATTGTGTTCTTTTTCCCCCTAAAAGTCAGGTTAGGGAAACACAGATCTCTTTTTAGAATTGGGCAGCTGAATCAGATTGATCCAATATATATGTTTTAATTTTATTATTTTTAATGGATACCCTGTCTCTAATGCACCACAATACATGTGATGAAACTTCCCGTCTTCTGGATGGAGGAACATCTAAAAATGTTTGGTTTAATTTTTATGTATAGATATCTGTGTATGTATGTATGTATATATTTAAATGCTGCTTCTCTTCTGCCTCCTTAAGGAAAAAAAATCATCTTTTGACTTGCTTCTCACCTTTTTTGTTTGTTTGTTGGTAAAAAGTAAGGGCCATAATCAAGATTTCCCTATGGAAAATAACTGTCATTCCTAAAACAGGTTTCAATGGATTCAATTTAGTTAGTGTCTTTTTTTTCCTAATCATACTAATGAGTGATTGTCAGCCAACATATTAAGACAACAGAAATCATAGCAGAGAAGAATAATTTTTAACTTCCTGCCTGCATGACAATACGAAGTAATTTTCAACATTTCTGCTCGTATGGGAGAGCTAAAATGAGAACAAAGATCAAGTTTGCTTTCTCTTGCATCTACCTGGCGATTCAAATGCATCGCTGAAAAAGAAATGCAGAATTAAGGTGGCTATGCATGCTGGACGATGACAAAGACTGAGGTGAAGAAATGAATCTGCGGTATGTCGGAATTCAGAAGGAAGACTGTTGTTTCAGTAGAAATACCAAAGATCAGGCAATTTAACAGAAAAACTCATCAAAATCAAAGCCCACCTGGACAGATTAGTTGGCAACCCACTCCCCCTTGCTTTGGGATGTTCTCCAAAGCACACCATCAACGAGCTTTTAGTACCAACTATTCTGAAATTTCCACGATAAACATATGCAGTATGTAAAACACCAGTGGAAGATAGTTTAAACAAACAAGAAAGTAAGAACTGGTCCGGCCATGTAGGTCAAATAAAGATAAAAAAAGAAAAAACCTCTATCTTCTGGACTGCGTTAGGGTGTCACTTCATCTTTGGTATAAAATAGGCCATCCATAGGCTGCATTTGTTCACAACTAGGAAAGACTACAGAAATTGTCAACAATTTCTTCTATCTATTGCTTTTTTTGCACTTTTTTGACCATAAGCTCCTATCTACTTAAGTTTTTTTTAATGCTCTTAAGCTAGGTTTTTGCAATGTGACAAGCAAAGCAGACTAAAAACTTCTTAAAGCTCATAAAAAAGACTGCAGATAAAAAGCACTAATGCTTTTGCTAGCGATCACGCTTTGTAAATAAAAAAATCTGCATTCTGCAAGAAAAAAACCCTGCATTCTCTATAATGCAGCAAGTTTTTTTCTCAATTCAATAACTTTACTGTAAAATGCTTTAGCCTTCTAGAATTTTTTCTGTCAACACTTAAGACAAAGTTCATAAAAGTCCCAGCATTTTTCCAATCCTTTCAGTTGCCACAGTTCCTTTATCATCAACTTTTCTTCAAAAGAAGAAAATCATTTTCTTTTAAACTGTACAGTTTATTTTTTGTTCACCCCAAAAACTCAGTCTATTAAACTTCTGCACCAGCACCGGTGTGAGCAGTTTCAATTCATTCTCGGGTTTTCTAACAAGACGTTGACAGCTTGCCTTGAGAGCCTTTGACGTCCTTAAAATTAAGGCAATTAAGATTCAAGATAAACCTTACCTAAACATTTCTTTAAAAAAACAAAAAACAAAAAACCAAAAACCACTCTAGATTTAAAACAAGAAGAAAAATAAAATGAGAGAAAAAGAGTAGCTTAATTTTTGAGGAAGACAATTGGTTTTCATCTCAACTTGCTTCCTCTTGACATCATCAGTTTTTCTGTTAAAAAAAAAAAAAAAAAGAAAAAGATCTAGCTACACCTCCAGGTATATTCTGAATTCAAATGTTCGTCCAGATGAAATGTCAACCCAGCATTTTTCCTCTGGGTTTTTCCTTTAGTTAAAAAAAAAAAAAATAGCAAAAATAAAATTGTCAGACTACATGACGGAACCATTTGCACAGCACATAAAAACACTGTTTTGTTTTCGTTGGGAAAGGTAGAAAAAAAAAAAGCATTCATTTGACGCCTGTGCAAACTGGAAGCCAACTTCTTGTTCAGTGAAGTTTCTCCATTCAAGGCAAAGATTTCAGACCGACATTCTTCAGTCCTGTTTATTGTCTGTAAAAACAATTGAATTAAAGTGGTCATTAAGTCAAAACAACTTTGAAATAGGCTCCTCTCCTTTTTTTCCACCCAATTCCCTTTAAAAGTTATCCAAGCTAAACTAACTTTGCAGCTGTTTAAATATGATACCACCACTAAGCTGAAAATAGTCAGGCAGAAATAGGGAACTCCTGCTTTGGGGACATTAACACATCCTAAGCAGATGAATTTACTCTTGTTAATGCTGTGTTTAATGGGCAGTCTAACTACACTGAAAGGAGATGAATTTGTGGCTTAACACTGTCTAAATATTTCAAGAGTAATACAATAAGAGAGTGAATATTTTTCATAATAATAAGTGGCATTATTTATTTTGGATACTACTAATAAAATGAAGGATAAAATTACAATAAAAGGATACATCCAATTTGCTACAAAGAACACATTTTCTGATGGCAAGAACAGTTAGACTGCAGAGCACTCTGCTTAATGAGCCGGTTATGGCTAACTTAGTAGAAACATTCAAGATAATATTAATTAGAAAAATATATTTTTTCATCATATAGTGTCAAATCTTCCTAAATTTAGCACAGAGAATTAGCTGAACTATCAACCTCTTTCTTATGGAAGATAAGTCTCATCTTGTGTTTTTGAGGTTTCATGTCATTTAAACATGTCACGTCAAACTTATCTTAGCAAGACTACATAAGATCTTTGGGGAGACATAGAACCTACATATAAACTGTTTCATGTCTAGGCTATCAGTAAGAGGTAGTTATTGCTTCTCATACAGTACTCAAACCTCGCATGGAAAAAATCCTCTTCCAAATGAAGTTCAACACAAGAAAATCCAATGATTTTCCTTCCGCAAGCATTAACACATTTGCCTTGCTTAGTTTTGAATTCCTTTTAATATTAGGAATTAAAATGTGAAGAATGCTGATGACAACATCTGCCACAGAACTATTTCTCTAGCATGGTAAACATAAAACTAACTTCAATTTTAAATGTTAAATTTACCAAAGGACTTTTCATTGTGTGAAGCCTTTGAATATTTTGAATGTAACAATAGATTTATGTGGAAAGCAAGAATTTATTATTTTCTTAGGGTTCTCTATCCATAACTTCCAGTAGGAGTACTCAAGTTGGACTGCTCACCTCCCAGGGTTTTACTGCCCCTCTGGGTCAAGTGACCACCATATATGTGAAAGACCAATGCCACCAAAGGGTCACGGCACATACTGTTTAATCCAACTTGGCACTGAGTTTGCCCACAAACGGCTCCAGAAAAATGTAATTCTTTCCACATTTAAATCAGAGTACGTTGTGCAGCAGAGTTTTGCTTAAAGGTAAGAGTACACTTTTCAGGTGAAAGGATCTCCATTTACCTCCACTTCATAGATTTCACACTTTTACATGCAAAATTAAAGATTTACAAGGAAAAAAGTATGGGTCTAAAATAACTAAGGTGATTTCCTCATAAGACTTGTCTGCTCAGAAGGGCTGTTTTTCCTACATTGCTACACAATACGTAGCCAGGTTTTTGACATGAACTTGTCATTTCTGAACATCTATGGGTGCGATCCTCAAGTACAGCCACCAGCATATTAAATAAAAGAATGTATATGCTGATTAAAAAAGTGGAACTTAAATTTTAAGTCTCATGGTTTATTTTTACTTACAAAGAGAGTACAGAGTCCTTATACCACCCAGTTCACTCTGAGTACATTGCCTCTCCTTCGTTGCCTGCAATTTCATGATTGTTGCAAAGAAAATAAATATAATGAAATACACTGTTATAACTTTTCACCGGACTGATCAGCTCCTATGAAAGATTTTTATAGTGTCTGACTTTTTCTTTGCCTATATCTGACAAAATCATTGTCCGGTCTTATTAACTACTTCCTCTCATCTCACTTTGAAAACAGCTGTTGCATATTGGGCATGATGCTTGCTATTAATAAATGTGCCCTCTGAAGAGCAGATTAATAAAACTGTATTTTAATTACAAAATAACTTCATTTGGTTTTATGTTAAAGGCTACTGAAATATTCCAGAAGAAGTTGTTTTATTAAGACAGAGATTGTATATATTTTGGTTTGTTTCAGCTTCCCACACTATGCATTTCCTTCTGCAACTGGCAGATATAAATAGAGGGCACATGTCAGAAAAAAAAAAGCCTGAAATAATCATAATAAAAAATCTGCAGTTGATCTGCCCGTGTGATTAAAAAAGAAAGAAATTCCTCTGAATATAAATGCCAGTGCCATTAGAAGTGTATCCATCATTGCAACAAGGCAGTAGCTGACAAAGAAAGATGAGGGATCTCATTCTCAGAGAAGGTGGGAATTCACCACACTGGCAAGAAACACAGCACCCATTTCAATAAAGAATTGCAATGTAGTTTCCTCCTATGTGGGAAAAATGCCAGAGTCAGCTGCTCACAGCTATTTTATGAGGGCTTCTGAACCTAAGTCCTTCTGCTTTGAGACTTAAGTGAAAGGGAACTGGAACATTGGAATGTTCCAGGATCCAAACTCCTACAGAACAGCCACAAGCCAACAGGATGGTATGGTCAGATGTGTTTCTCTCTTTGTCCATTATATTTTATAAGTATTTTGCCATCATTTATTTACAGGTAGTAGAGAGACTGATGGCTAGAAGGAATACACATGCATAGACTGTGTCTCCGATTTGGTCCATCAATAAAAATCTTGTGATCAGCTGCTTTTGTAATATGTCAATGAAGACAAATACAGGCATTACATAAGAAATAGAGAGGTCTCATGTTTTATGACAGTCAAAAAGGGACACTGTGTGATCTGAAACCATTTGTTACTCATATATTAGACAAATAAATGCATCTTCCACTTCCAGAGGTCAAATGTGAAGTAAAGCTATTGACAGATTGTTATAATTCTAATCTTTCCTATAACAGCTCATATCTTATGCCTCCATAAGTACTATGTCATGATGCATTTACTGACATATCTAACATATTTCTTGTCTGACTATTTGTCTATTTCCTTCCCCAAGATAAGAAATGTGTAGTTCTCTTTTCACAGTGATGTTGGTATTCAATATACATTTATTAATAAAGGACTGGGTTTGGGCTCCTTCCTAGAATCTGTCCAACAGTGATCAGTCTCAGTGAGTACCCTGACGCTAAACAACCTTCTCTTCATAAGGAACAGTTTTATTGTGGCAAAGAAGTGTTTGAGGATTATTCTGAAGATGAATGGACTCTCTAGGAGTTCTAGATCCAGTTGTCAGTGTATAAATTTTGAATTTTCCAGGGTACTCAATGGCAAGCAAAGAAAGGGAGCAGAGGACAGGAGAACGGCAGAACAATGCATCTCTCCATCCCTTTCTTATCCCTTCTTCCATTTCCAGTTCCTGCCCACTAAGCGTCTGCATGGCACCAGTTTTGTACAATCACAAATACAACTTGGGGCAAGTTATACTGCTTCACTAGCTACCCTTTCAGAAAGAATTCTTTACATGTGTACCATCCCAAAATTTTCACCACTGCGAAATTTAAGCCCTCTTTTTAACCTCTGATTGTGCCAGCTTTAACGCCAGACTTTTGCTTTAGCCCAGCGTGAAGATTGTTAATGTAGTTGTTGAGATCCTTCCGAGTGCAGAAAAGCAGCAGATCGTTAGAGACCGTATCATTGCAGGCAGGAACTCAAGGACAATTTGTCAAGGTGAGGCCATCAGCCAAAACCTTTTGCCAATTACACTGCTATTGTCCAGAATTCATCTGGACTTAAGGAAGCTACTTAGAATTCATATTTCTGAAATGGGGAGCAGAATTTGTCCTGCTATATTTAAGAAATAAAACCTTCTGGTTACAAAAGCGCATGCCTACTTACTTAGACTGTTGGTAAGAATATGCAGGCGCATGTTCACTGGATGTTTCCACTGTCATCTGTTGCTGTTGACCACTGGCTTCCTGTGATGAAGATGCTACTGTCTGTGGAGAAGTATCAGCAACAACACCCTAGGGAATCAAATGAGAACATGAAAAATTTACCAGCTTTACTCAAAGTAAATGACATAAAAGAGCTCTGGACCTGCTCACCATTCCTGTATTTCTCTAGAGGTTGAGAGAGCTTAAGATAGCAGAACCATATGCTAACACAACAAACTCCATCAGTTTTAGAGAGCTAACCCAGCCACAAGAAGCTTCCTTAGCATACCAGCCCTTGTAGTACTCTGTTTTCACAGGCTGCAGTGGAAAGCACCTCCACCTTTGAGGGCAGTTCGCCGCCCATTTGAAGCCAGAGGCAAAACTTCTGACTTCAGTGGATTCTGAATATAACTTCTTGAATTTTTTACAATACACGTATGGCTCTTCAGATTTTCACTTACCTACCCCAACTTCACAGTGAGTCCACATTTATTTTGTTTGATTGGCAATGCGATAAAGGCAGAATCTAGGCACATTGCCCTCTGCTTTATTACACCTCCAGCGGAATTTTAGCTGCCTTAGAAACATACTGCACTCCTCTACGTAGTGCATGTTCCCTTCAAAAATAATAAAGACTTATCTGTTAAGTCAAAGCTCCGACAAAGTTTTGCTTTATTTATACATTTTCAGAAAAAAAGGTAAGTAGACACACAAAAGTTAATATGTATGAATTTAAAATTATGCACTATTTCTTATCCTATTTAGATAGTCTGAATAATATTAGTTTTAAGTATCTTTGCATGCTTTCAAAGTAAGCTATATTTTCTTTCCTTTTCTCTCATGTTTGGTGTGTTGGTCACACGAATAACACTAGCAGGTCTCTTCAGGGAACATGCTTTATTACTGTATTGCACACAACAGAGCCAGAAGAGGGAGCACAAAGCACTTGCTTTGTTTTTATTTGAGTCCTGTGTAAACAACAGGTAGTTTATTTTAAATTCTCTGTTAAAAATATCAATTTCATTTTTCAGAAATTCTTTATATCTATTGCTTAACAGACTGTCAGTATCATCTTTTTCTGTCTACTTCTTTGGCTTTATCTTTCTCCTTTTGTCCATCTCATCTTGAGATTGTAACCTCTCTGGGGCAGAGACTGTATCTTTTGGTCTCTGCTCCTGGACCATCTGGCATAGTAAGGTCCCAGCTCATGATGCTACATGAATACAGATAAAACATTAACAATATTCATCATCACTGGATCAGAGCAAGATAGGCTATACATCCAGGTAATATTTTGATTATTTTGATTATTATAGTAGATGATTACAACCCCATGTTACTTTAGCAGGCATGAATATACAAGTGGGTGATGGGGCGGAGGGCACAGGAAGAATTAACATAACTTCTCATTCACACTGGCCAGCACAGTATGCAGTCAGTACTGCTGAATGAGCCCCTCTTCCCCCCACCATCTACTTTTAATTTGGATTTGTATCTGCCCAGTTTAATACCTAAGAATGGCAATTGAAAAGAGGCATCCATGGTCTGTTCATAAACAAATATGGTTTAGGGAAAAATTATCCTGAGGCAAAAAAGACTAAAACATGACCAGCTCAGTACGACAGAACAGTAGCAGCCTTTCCTGTGGGATTCCTGTAATTGCAAAGAAGCGGGAGAAACCAGGATGAGTCCACTTGACTCCTGGTGGAGCCATGCCAACCCCCAGTTGGGAATCTCAGTAATTGCAAAGAAGCGGGAGAAACCAGGATGAGTCCACTTGACTCCTGGTGGAGCCATGCCAACAGTACCACTAACTCAGCACAGAGTAGTAATATCAAAAACTCCGAGGCCCACACGGCTGAAGACAGAAGTTCAGAGACCCTGGCACTCCTGGCATTACCCCAGAGCATGGGAGAAGTTACTAATAAAAGAGGCTAACACCAAAGAGATGCACACAGGGAAGAGGATGCCAAGGCTCCCTCCTCTCGCTGTGATCAGCAGCCCTTATGAAGCTTCACAGAAGTGGAGGCCAAGCTGACGCTCTCCCGGCAGCTTGTGGTCTACAGGGTTGAGTAAATACTTACTCATTAGACTGTCATCAGCATGACTCAGCCCCAAGGAGGGAGGGAGCGAATCCTTCCTCAAGGATGAAAAGCACTCAGTCAGTGCAGCATCCTCCACGTCTGTATATACAAGAGGAAGGTTTCCATTGCTCAATCACTTTTTCTGGTGGCTAAATGTTTTAGCAATTACCTATATTTGCTAAGGACCGCATCAAACCCTCTTGCAATCTTCTCTTCTTGGAATTTCTTTTGGGTTCGTGGTCTGCCTATTGGGTTTGTTTTCCTGACTTTTCCCATCTCCCTCCCAAGTACATCGGGGAAAAAAACAGTCATAATCACTGATGTTTTATTCCATGTCCTGCTGTACAACAAAACAGATGCAAAGCAAGAGCCCTTGCAAATAATAATAATAATAATAATAAAAAAAAAGGTGGAAAAAGAAAAAAAGAAGGAAAAAGAAAGAAAGAAAGAAAAGAAGAAGAGAAAGAAATGTGCAGTCCTAATTTTAAAAGCTGGAAGCTTCCAGCCACTATTCCATACAGTAACTTTAGGGCCCTTTGAGACAACAGGTTCAAACAAGTGTAATAGGTAAGAGTTCTGCTACCCCTTCATTCCACTTTTATGGATGGAGATAAACTTACTTCAATAGGGACAGCTGTTGGAGGCACAGGAGTGTACTGGGGAATGTAGGTCCCTTGCATAGGTGCAGCAGCAGTCATGTACTAGAACAAATCAAAGGGAAACGAACATCAGAAAACCACAATCAAGATGCATAAAACCATATTAAAAGCATAACACTGTTTCAATTTCTTGTTCAGAGTTTGTTGGTTCATGTATAGCCTATTATTTCTTTTAATTAAGGATTAATTAATGGTAGGAATTACCTAGCTATTAAAAATCATAATCTTGAACTTCAAAGTCAGGTCATATCTGAATACAGGCAATGGCAAACATCTTTCTGATAGATTCAGACTGTTCACATGGCTTCTAAAATTGAGACTCTCATTTGTACTTACAGAGACACAATAGCACCATATATATAGTGGTAACAGATTCAAAACTAGTCTAAACAATCTTTTGGAGTCTTATTGATCTTATCTAATGACACCTACAAAAAATGAAGCATTAAATTTGACAGGTTTATTCCAGTCTATATTTAACCCTATCAATAACAGCAGTTGCGTTTACAGTGATACAGAAGCTGCAGAAAGGTGCAATCCAACACAGGAAAAATAAAGCAGGAAGATCTATCTGGGAGTTTCTCCTTTTGTATAAAGAATGAATCCCTAGCTAAATTCATATGGCTTACCCTTAATATCTAGGGATCTTTTCTGTGCATTTTGAAACTTCTGCAAATTATTATTACAGCAACCAACACTTTGTATAAGCTTCTCTAAAATACTGTCTCTCCCAAGCACTACAAGGCAATCTTTTTTTAAAAAATTCATGAGTGCATGTGAATTTTGCCATTGGTATGGCACTAATCTCTTTAAATACAGCACTTCTTAAAAAGCTCTTGAACCGAATGCAATGTATATTGTTCAAATCTTCAAATAAACTATCAATATTAAGTTGTCAGTTCTGCATGTACTTTTCTTTCTACAATCCAGTCCTAATTGCATGTCTTCACCGACAAGAATCTCAGAATGTGCCCAATCCCACAAGTGACTGTATTACACTTCCACTACATGTTATCTTCAAAGACACACCGAAGATCTGAATCAGCCCAGAATGTATTTGATGAATTTTAAAATGAGTTAAATATAGCTTGGCTTCCTGGCAGAGCTAGGAAAAGCTTGCAAGATTTTATTCTGCTGTTTATAGTAAAATTTGCATTTAAAGCACTCTCTCACCTCAATTCTAAACTAACTGGATGGTTTGATATGCCTGTCACAGACATGCATTATAAAATTGCATAGTGGGCTGCAGACTCTGCAGCAATGCTGGAGAAAGGCCTTAGGGAATGAGAATGGCATATTTAAAAATCCTGCAGCTAAATTCTGAAGTCTTGATTCAAGTAGGAGAAAAAAAATTACTTAAATGAATTCATTTTCTGTAGAAAAAAAAAAAACGTGAGGAACATAGTTGACATTGAATGTTTACTTGCAATATCAGTAGCATATTGTGTTGAAAACCATTACAATATTTTTGCTAAAATTCAGTGTTTTCCTTAACTGGAGCAAAGAGATGGGAGTGTCCCCAGTGTCTACGTGCCTGTATCAGGCCATGTTTTTCTGCAGCTCTCCTTTTCCTTGTTCTTCAGAAAGAGAACTGAATTCAATATTTTTTTAATGAGTGCTATCTCACCAAAGACATTAGACAAACCATCCCCATCGTATCCCATACAGTTGCGCTATTCTCCTGCCTTACAGATTAGGACCTAATGAGAACGCTGCAGTGGAGTGTTCCAGAGCTGCTTCTGCTTCATTCATTCTGCTTGTATTGTTGCCGTCACATGTTGGAACGACATCGCTGTGTAGCATTGTTCTAAATGTGTCAACGTTTAATATGAACCTGAAGCACTCATTCTTACAGTTCTGCAAAGACCTACAAGGGTTTTAAATACCTACGCAGGCTAGCTTCACCCACACAAATATGTATAGATTTTAATTAAAAATGTTAATTTAAAGAATAAAGTGGCCTCATTCAGCTTGGACTTCCTGAGATCTTCCCTGAATTCAGCATAAGATCAGCAGTCAGACTCTTATAAGATGAAGTTGTCTGCCATTCCCTGACGTTCAAACTCAACTGTGTTTGAGTGAAATACATAGATGTCAAATTATCAAACGCACAGATAGCAAATTTTGCAACTGCCACTCTACTTTTTGCAAAGTCCTTTGGCACTGGGTTCTGTAGCACAGCAATTGAAATGGTAAGGGAATGAACTGGTGTCTATGTTGGCTCTGCAAGCACTGCTCTCGGTAGTCGTGTAGTTTCTTACCTCTGTTGTGATTGTTTTTCTTTTGAGGCAGATCCTGATCTTACTTGCCAGACTACTTCACGGTGCTACACAACCTCAACAGGAAATTGTTCTGTTGACTTGAGTGTGACTGGTGGCCCTGACCAACCTCTGCTTGTCCTGGTCTTTCAGATACTCCAACTGCTCAATACCCTCCCAGTTTAATTTTTTTCATGAATTTTAACTGAATTCAGCCAAGCAGAAGTGCTAAGATTTCTGCCTGAAATCGTTTAACTGAATTCAGCCAAGATTTACGGTGCTAGAGATCAAAGCCATCTAGTCACTTGCCAGACTCCCTGAAGAACTGTAGCAATGTGACTTCTCCCCTGCATATAACATATTCTGCTTGTCTACATGTCCACTGTAATGGTGGTTCAACCTTTTGGTTAAATAATTTAGAGTTCTATAGTTAAAACAAATGATGTAGGCAAAATTACTTCCACCAATGACATAAATGAAGTCACAGTTTTTCTGCCAAAGAGTTTGGTCTTGAAAAAAGTTAGCCAAGGCTCAATCCTACAGAGAAATATTGCTGCTTAACAACTGACCCTTTACTCCACAGCAGCAGACCAGTCTGTATTACAAGTACACACATTGTGTCCTTCCATGGAATATCCAAACATACTTAATGTATTTATTTTTATGAATTTAAAGATACCCTCATATTTCAGAAAAGAGAAACTGGGTCAACAATTAAACATGCTATCAGGGCTTGGAACTGGTTCTCAGTCTCTAGACTCTCACTTAAGGATCCATTGAGGCTTCTGCAAAACACCTTACAAAACTATAAAGGACAACTTGGGCTTAATTCTGAGAGATACACAATTGGTCTGGAGTATCTAAAGTCCCCTCACATGCACAGGGAGCCCCAGCTCAGACCACATGAATTCAGGAGTGTCTGCCCTGCTGGATCTGTTTTCACCATGGGAAGCCTAATGCTAAGAAGCTGTTTTAGTAACAGTATAATAGTATAACAAGTTTGCTTAGTAACAGTATAATGAAAAAGGATAACTGATATTAGCTCAATTTAGTTCACATGTATTTCTTTCCTTTATGAACTACATAATTCTAATTCTCTGATCTCACAGGATAAATACATTAAAGAATACATAGTGCTAAGGCACAATGTCAGTGTCAATACTTATATCAATGGCTTTGGATAATGCAAGAGTTGAATTTCTACAGTGAACATTCACAGTTGGCTGTTAGCAGAAAGCCTCCTGAACATTGCTTTTCAGTAGCTTCCATATCCATCCCACACTGAGTCCACTGGAGTCTATCTCTCCCTGGGTCCCTCAGACACTTTACCCAGCTATTTTGTAAAACAGTGTGCTTTGGATGGATTGGAGTGAGTGCTGCCCATGCTGGGAGGTGGAAAAGAGCTTCAGAAAAAATTGTGAGATTCAGAAGAAAGGCTAAACATTTTGTATCTACACAGCTCAGGACTATCCACGATGAAGATTCTGCTCTAAGGACATCCCTGAACTGTGAGGGACTCCACAGTGATGCAGCTCCATGGGGTCTACAGATCCTGTAGATGCACATAGTCTGCTTCCCATCTACCTCAAGAAACTAATGTAACTTGGAAGTGGACAGATAGCAAACAAAGAAGACATCTGTGTCAGAAGACGATCACTAAGATTTATTTTCTCCATGAACCACACTCACTAAAGTTCTTTATCCACATGTGCGTGTGAAAGAGAGACAGCATGACTCACATGCTCAGCTTAGCAGTACCCAGCTAATTCCACTAAATATTAGTATTGTAAGCACTGAAATGAGAGAATCTGAAAAATCCAAATCCATTCTTTCTTTGTCATATGTTTCCATCAGGATTAAAGATTCTTGAGCTGTAATGTGATCGGTCATTCAACAAAGTACGTGCAAGGCAGAAGAAAACACTGTTCATTCTTCCACAACTATACAGGCTTTGTGGATCTAAAAGTAGAAGCTGCTTATTTCTGACAGTAAAAGGAATAGTAACTCTACAGGCACAGATGATGGATCTGGAGGGTATAAGGGAGCTTTTTTGATACTCTGATCCTTTAAAAGCTGATAATTTCTACCACAGAAAGAGAAAAAAAAGAGTTATTGCTGGTGGCACCGTGCTCTTAATTTGTTTGTAAACTATTATTTTCTTCATACAGTATGCAGAATGCAAGTTCTCCTCACTGACAACGTGCACTATTATAATACAATGCATGCTTTACAATGCCTGACTGCTTACTTCAGACTGCACTTATCAGAGCATCAATTTAGCCTATATGCCACATTAACAATTCTGCTCACATTTTGTCCAATGGGATTTCTGTGTTTACCATTTTGAAACTGCTTAAATATGTGAAAAAATATATAGCTAGAAAATGAAAGTAGTAACATACACTTAGACTTCTGCTCTCCTTTCAGATATTGCCCTCCGTGACTACAAAGAGTTAAATGAAATAAGGTAACAAATGAATGAGGAGGTGGGTTAAGGGGACAAAATGAAACCATGACAAGGATCACTTTTAATTCAGAGAGCACCATCAGTTCTTGCATATCTGCAAACAGTAGAGTATCACAGCCTGGCTCCAGCAAGACTCCTGTTGAGCCTGCAGCAAACACTAAACCCATAAAGGTGGCAGAAATAGGAAAGAAGGAAACAAGAGGAAGGCAGTACAGGAGGACCTTGCAGTAGGACAAAACATTTCACCCATCAAAGGTGGAGCTGAGTGACCTGCAGGGAATTTGCAGGAGCTTTTACATCGAGAGTATGGTATAGGT